GGATACCGACGTAAGACTGGTAGTGACAGAGAGGTCAGAATCAGTTGAGGTTGTCTAGGAGGAGATTTTCCTTTTATTTGTATCTTTTCAGGAATTCACTACCCATTCCTCAAACGCTTCCTCCAGCGCCGATCGTTCACGAAGTCGAGATGCTGATGTGAGCCATTACTTGCCCAGTTTTTTCTTTAAAGCTCCAAAATGTTTTCGTATTTCTCTTGTTTTACGGAGAACGCGTTAAGCTCTGGAAATCTCAAAAATATTCAGGCACATTTTCCCTGGACGTTTATAATGGACGTAGGTCATTCAACGCTAACACGTCGCATAATTTGCGTTATCCAGCATTCATTATTAAAAGGAACCACTGGTTCTAATGGCGTCGTTAAAGTTTTTAGGGGTTATGAATTTGGTGAGGGGTGTGAGTTACTCCGAAGAGGTAGTCCCTATAAAAGTTTGCCCAGCACCTTAGTGTTCGTAAGTACTTATTCTAATAAAACAAGGCACCGTTTTGGACGGCGTAAGGGCTATTTATGTTCTTCTTGTGGATGGCGTGTGAACCTTCCAGTAGGAGAGAAGATTGAACAAAACAAAGGTATTGACTGTGAGTGATAGCGACGCATCAATGCTGTCGCTTTTGTAGCCTTTCTCATAAAATATCCGCTTTCCATGGTATTGTAACATACGACTTAAAGATTATAACATACTCCACGACACTATTGTTAGATTGAAGCGAAATGGTACAAGAAACGTTCTAGAGTAGGGACACCACCTTGCGAAGAACAAAAAGACTCTCTCATAGTCAGCAAATAGAAGTACTTTCTGCGCGCTCCTAAAAATCCGTGTTATTATATTATCAAAGAACTAATGTCGTGAGTTTGTCAGTTATACCAAAACTTGTGCACGATCGCTCCGGGAAGAGTCTCATGTTACAGAGAATTGTTCTAGAAGCTAGGAGATTAACTACTATACGCTACTCTTGCTAAAGCGCCCCACTCTCAGCTGTCGTCAAAAAGTTTTCACTTCTGAACTACGGACCGCTTAGCAAACCCTCTTAAAAAGTCATATTGCCTCTTGAAATTTTGCCTGATTTTAGAAGCTTATGGTATATGCAAATGGATTTTTTCTGGTCCTCAATGTATTGGCAAAAACTTGTTAAGTGTACATATATATATATATATATATATATATATATTTGATGAGAGATGATGGATATACGAACGTAGAGAAAGGAAAAAAATTCTCCTGTTTGAATACACGTAGTTCATTTATTTTTGTTTCCCGATAGTCTTGATCTCGTTACGCGCGGGTATTATGCAGTATTTATTCCACATAAACGAAATCTTTGGGGAATTTTAATTGTAAATTTCACCATATTGGCTCGTAGCTTTGTTGTATACTCATTACTTCAATGTTAAAGTACCTTTTATTCTGATGAGAGCCAACGTGACATGACTTTTATTTCCCGTAGAGCCGACAGCTACGTGCTTCAAGAAATTTGAGGCAATTTGACACCAACAACTAATGAAGCGGCAAAAACATTGCGTAGGCACAGCAAAAAGAGGGTAAAAATTTTCGTGAGTCAGGTGCTTCGAAGAAACATTGCATGAGGAATTGCAAAAACATGGCTGATGTGAAAATGCGTCGAAATAGAACTATGTGGTGATTTATATTTTTCTCTCAATTATCAAATTATCACACACACACACACACACACACACACCACACACAACACACACACACACACAACACACACACCACACACACACACACACACACACACACACACACACACACACACACACACACCACTTCTTATAGCATTTTGTTGCATAAGACTGTTCAATGTCGAATGTAATGGTTTGGAATGCTTGAAATCACCTACAACAGAAATCTAATTTCAGATCCAGTTTCTTCATTCTCACGTGGTACTCACTATAATTCATGGTACCCATTTGCTGTAGCGAGAAGGAGCTCCACTAGCCAATAATCGCAGCTCTTCTTAAAAAACAGACTAGGGAGAAGACCACCATAAGAGTGATCTTTTATCTATCATAATGACTACGAGAACTTCAGAGCAGAACCTACGACTGCAATTCATATAATGTAGAAAGAGTAACCACTTTGAAGTTTGCAATTGGTACATGACATATTTAAGTAGGCCTTATTGAATAGAGAAATATATATATATATATATGTTCATGTAATTATAATATATATTATATATAATATATATGTATATATATTAAATATAATATATATGAAACATATATATATATATATATTCGTATAATAATAAAAACTTCGTATAATTGTCATTTTTCTAAATTTCGCAATGATGTGATATCTTTTCATTAATGCTGATAATTTTGTTAATTTCTTATTCAAATTTGGTCTAGAATCTATCGTACTTATCTGTCTATTTTCCGCTGTGCTCACGCTATGGATCCTGAAAGTCAACGTATCGCAGTAGTTGAGTTGCATTTCCTCTTTTCTCCTTGATTACTGAAGTAGGTTTTAGTTGTTGAGCTTTCACTTCACGTAGTAGTTAAAAATTGATCCATCACCTCACAATACATGATGTATTTGTTGTGTAATGGAGGCATTCATTGCACCTCGTCACTTAATGTTGCATTTGTCTTATGATCGTGGGACTTTGTTGTTGATGTAGACACTCGCTAATCTCATTGTGTTTGTCATTGGTTATGCCAGCGATATGTAATATCTGCTGAAAAGAAAATGAATCCATCAAATCCTTCACTGTTGTTGCGAGTGCGTGAAAAATATTAGTCGCTCGCTTGAGGTTTTTAAAACAAGCAAATATAGAATGACCATATGTTGATATGAAATGATTTCTAGAACACGAGAATTATTCATTGATCCCTGAATATTCCGGGCGCTCCAGAAATTTATCCCTACAGAAAAAACACCTTGTGTTGTGTTCAAAAGTTAGCTTGAAACAGAACTTTCAAACAGCTGGGGACGAAAACGGGATTTAAATTATTGTAGTTCTCGATGGAATTCTTTAGGTAAAGAAATTTTTCTGTGTTTGGAATAAGAACAACACAAGAATGAGAAGCTTTAGTATTCACTTCAATCAGTAGTTTTCGATATGAGCTGGCTTATATTGCTTGAACCGTTTGCGGACGATAAGGGTCTTAGTGACCTCAGCTGAGCGCGCCTTTGGGCGGTTACGAAGATTGGCGCTAGATAGCTCCAATAGAAATTAGAAATAATTATTTTCTCAGAGGGACATCATCATTAAAAAGAACAATAAAATACCACTGTTGAGACTCATGCTTGAATAATTTCAGCAATATTAGCATTAATGCTTCTCTAAGTTCAGTCTTTTTTAGAGGAAAAAAACCACACCCTTGCGAAAGAAGAATATATTTCGATCTGTTATCAAACATATCCTCTTATACTGTCGCTGTCTTTGTAAACAATCACTACTTGAAAATTTTTGATTTTGATAGTGAGCTTGACGTGTGTAAAGATTTCATTGCATGCTCTACTAATAAACAAAAGGTAACACTTCGTAAACGCGGTACATTTTTTCCAATCCACAGCAAATTTTTCAGGATTGTGTAGTAATATCTACGTACCTCCCTCTTTGAGGGGTCCCGACCGGTTAGGGATGGGACAGAGAAATGAGGCTCAAATTTTCTACTGTTTTTAGCATATTATACCCAAAGTTTTGCTTGCTCGACTCCAAACGTAAGGGCTGGGTACTCACGGGCAGCTTGACAGTGTTGCTCGGAGGAGCGGAAGGAGCTCAATTGTTGGAGGCGCCTCCTAACCGCCTCCCATGTACTTCTCAGAGGCTTGGTTGCAGGCTTTTGGCCGAAATGGCTCGTAGAAATAGAGTTTTGTTAAGTCGGCGCTGCAGAAGCGGGAAGCTCATCCTCTGAATCCACCTGCGTCTCTGGGAAGCACAAGGTCGCTTTTGGTTTGCGTTTATTCCCCTATCCACCACCTGGGAACGCGCCACGTGCCCTTCGTGACTAACCGGGCGGGATCCCTCAAAGAGGGAGGTATGTAGATATTACTACATAATCCTAAAAAATTCGCTGTGGATTGGGAAAAATGCATCGCGTTTGCAAAGTGTTACCTTTTGTTTATTAGTAGAGCATGCAATGAAATCTTTACACACGTCAAGCTCACCATCAGAATCAAAAATTTTCAGGTAGTGATTGACTACAAAAACAGTTGGTTGGTTGATGGTTTGATTTCGCGCTCATGACTCATCAGTCCATCCACCCCTCCGGAGACGGTAAATTGGTACCAGATTGGTCTCAGACTTGTCTTCGAAGATAAGCAACACTGACTCGGTACAGCGGGAGGCCACTGCGACTCGTTGTAGAGGTCACATATGCAATCACCTCAAAAGAAGTTAGAAATTAAAGACGAATACTTATATTGAATGGATCAACGCTGAGAGCTTTATCTTTTAGCATCTAATTGAAATTGTCGAATTTTGAGCATTCGAATAATTACTAGAGAGAGAAAAAGAATTTTTTTCCCAACGAGAAAGGTCTTCAGGCACGAGAGATTTAATTGGTGAGCAAAAACACAACCTTAGACGGGGGTCGAACCCGTGTGTCATCCATACCGAGGGCGTGCTACCACTACACTATTGAGATACACTCGCACAAGCACTCATTCCCAATATCTCTGTGATAGCTGTAAGCCACCAATCTTTAACAGGTTCGGTCGAGTATGCTTTCGCCTCATAAACCCAGTTGAGCTGACAGCCATTGTAACAACTGATACTCAAAATTTCTAGTTTTTCTCCTGCCTTTTTTATGGTGTTATGTTCTTTCGTATATTTCTAAGAGAATTAAATGGTGAGCAAAAATAAGACTCTAGACGAGACTCCAACCCGCGTTTCGTAGTCAGCTTGACTATGTTTATAGAGCGATATCGCATACCTCACCAAACCTTTCAAAGGCTGGTGATCGACAGCTATCATAGAGATATTAAAGAATGGGTGGTGACCGCAATGTACCTCGGTGGTGTAGTGGTAGCACACTTCCTCGGTATGGATGAAACGCGGGTTCGATTCCCGTCCGAGGTCTTATCTTTGCTCACCACTCAGTTCCCTTAGGTATATATGAAACAACATGATGCGATGAAAAAGCACGAAAAATACTAGAATTTTCGGGTCTTCAAGCATTCTTATACAAGCACAGGGTCACGACGTCCCAATACAGGTTAACTCTTCGGGGACGGCATGCATTTCGAAAGATACACGACTTTTGCTGAAATTTTTCTCGCTGAAAAAAAAAGTTTTTCGAGAGTCAACATAAAGGTCGACATAATCATTAATTTGGCAAAAACTACTTAGAAGTGACAAAAATTGGAAAAGTATCGGACATGTAAATAAGGCCATAATAATAAAATAATAAGTGAATATAAATAAAAATATAATATGACATAGTAACCAATTGTAAATAGTCCCTGAACGTTTCATGTTTCGCGTTTGGCTCAATAATGGATGAATTGCACGTTTCAGAGACTTCAAGACCTCTGCATTTTAGTCAATGGGAAAACCATTCAGACCACCTATCTGGTTCCTACACAAACAACTCATTCTCAATGTTCTAATGTAGAAAAAGTTTTGATAAAAAAGAAAAGGGTCTGAAGGCGAAAACAAAACTAGTAATAATCCACTGAGTAGAAAAAACCCACCGTTTCCCTCAGCGAGTTGAGCGACGTCGCCCGTCAGTAGGTGGTTCCTACTCCATGAGCAATGTGCACTACTCACAGCCCTCCCTTTCATGACCGCGGCCGAATTGTCGTTTCGGGATCAACGAGCAGCGGAGCGCAATTGAAAGGAGCATTAAAATAAAACCTGAGATCATGGCATCTCTTAGACTTCCTTGTAGAGTCTCCCATGAGTATCGAGTCAATCGTTTCATTCCTACTCGTGACCAACCTTCAACCATCCAAACATTAAGTGTGCAACTATGAATCCACCGTTTTTTTCTAAAATAATAGCAATAATAGTGCTCATGGAGCGGGCTGTGAGTAATGCCCATTGCTCACTACTCACTGACGAGCGACGTCGCCCAACTCGCTGAGGAAAACGGTGAGCTCTTCCTAATCAGTAGATCACTTCTGGTTATGTTTTCGCCTCCAGACTTTTTTCTTTTTTATTAAAACATTTTTCTACATTAGAACATTGAAAGAGAGCTGCTTGTTTGGGACCAGATAGGTGGCTGAATAGTTTTCCCAAAAACTAAAATGCAGAAGTATTGAAGTCTCTGAAACGTGCAGTAATCGGTTACTATGTCATAATATATTATTCTTTCTAATCACTTATTGTTTTATTATTATGGCCTTAACCTTATTGCCTAGCATATGAAATTTCTTTCTGTTGAAAATATTGTACAAAATATACCCAGTGGTATTGAGTGATGTGCAAAACTCTAGCGCCAGGCGGGACTAGAACCGACACCTTACTCTTTCCGGGAATGCGTGCTCTAACCGTTACACTACTGACGCTCATTTTGCACATCGCTCTTTCTATGTTACAGCGCATCTACCTATCAGCCACCAGCCGTCAACGGCCAGGCCAGGTAGTCGGTCGCGACATTGAACCCAGTCACGCTGACAAATATTGGGTATTATAGATCAGTTGAAATTGTTTTTATTTAACCGCTTTTTTTGCGGTGGTATGATGGCGAATATATACCCACTGTTATAGAGTGATGCCACGGACCTCTCTCTTTGTGGGATCCCGCCCGGTTAGTTGCGAGGGCACGTGGCGCGTATCCTGGTGGTGGATAGGGGAATAAACGCGAACCAAAAGCGACCGTGTTCTTCCCAGAGACGCAGGTGGATTTAGGGGACAGCACCGCTGCTTCTGCAGCGCCGGCTTGACAGAAACTCTATGTCTACGAGTCATGTCATCCAAAGCCTGGAATCAAGCCGCTGGGAAATACATGGAAGGCGGTTGAGAGTTGCCTCCAACAAATAAGCTCCTTCCGCTCCTCCGAGGAACACTGCCAAGCTACTCATGTATTCCCAGCCCCACGTTTAGAGTACAGCAAGCTAAACGTTGAGTATAAAATGCTCAGAACAGTAGTAAACATGTACCTCATTTCCTTGATCACGAAAGAGCCCTTGCTGCGGCAGCGTCAGGTAGGACGAGTACGTAGAGGCTGCTGAAATCTCAGTATCAAACTAGGCTGCCAAGATCACAGCTTACTAAAATAATTATCCGTACCTATAATTCAAGAATTCTTGCTCATTAATTCGCTGTAGAAGATCTATTGATTCAAGCAAGAAGGATTGTACGACGTCATTGGCCTGCCTGAGACAAGAAGGCGCAATCCTTTTCACGCTGTTTATGACACCGGAGAAGAACTGTTCCTTGGAACATGCGACAGCAGAGGTGTCGGCGTTGGCGCCCTCGTCAAATCGAATTTTATTGTGATTTACTCATTTAGACAACTAACAACCCGTACTGGACGATTACGGTTGGAACGACGTGGTTCTGTGCCGGCTTTGACCATCTTCGTTGCTTACGCACCAACATCAATCTATGGCGAAGACAAAGTTAAAGCTTTCTATATAGACCTCGAAAATTTCTTCAGATAAGATTATTCATTCTTCAAGGCCATTTTCGGAGATTTTAATGCAAAATTGGACCTAGAAGAACGCCTAAAGAACGTCACATTGGGACGCACGACTAGTATGGAATGAACAGGATGAGAAGCTATCTGAATTTATCATGACGGCCCAAACCATCCATGTTAACTCGCAGTTCCAAAAGCCTCTTTCTCAGTGATGGACCTGGGAGTCTCCCAGTGGAAAGCACCATAACGAAATCGACCACATCATAGTGGATCGAAGGTTTTGCCTGACTGACGTCGCTGTTGTTCCTAAATTCTACATGGGATCAGACCATCGCCTAATTCGCGCAACATTCCTATTTTCGAGGAGAGGAGAGAAAGCCGCTAAATTTAAACAACGAAGTCCCAGAACTCCCATAAACTGTGATGTATTCAAACCATTAGTTGGCTCCTGGGAAGATGGCAACATCGACGAAGAATACAGTCGGCTTGTTGAATATCTTCGCGTTATCGCTGTGAAAGCCGAGAGTCCTAAGGTTACGAAGAGACTCCTGTCTCCGCAGACACTCGTGCTGATACGTCAACGTGGAATCGCACGAGCTGCAGGCAACCAAAACCTTACGTCCGAACTTGCAAAACTCTGCAGAGAAGCGATAAAAGAAAAGAAGACCTCAAAGAGAAACGAGTAGCAGGTATGGCAGAAGATGCAGAAACTGGGAAGACCATTCGCATATAAGACCAAGATGATTGCACCCCGTTGCCCTGACGGGACACTTACAGCTTCCAGAAGGGCTACGGAGAAAATCATCCACCAATACCACTCGGATCTCTTCGTTAAACATGTCCTCTTACCGTCACATGAATTGAGAGAGTATGAATATGTTGCTCCACCGGTCCTCCCTTCCAAAATCCGACATGCTGTTCCGTCGGTGAAAAATAGAACAGCACCTGGTTCAGACAGGATTGGACCAGAACACCTGAAGAACCTGCCGCCAGTTCTCATCAACACCCTGGCTCGGCTCTTCACTCACTACCTGTCAGAATGCAAGGTACCTATTCAGTGGAAAACCAGCAAGACGGTATTGTTGTTTAAAAAAGGAGACCTTCACGACGTGAGCAATTATCGCCCAATCTGCATGCTGTCCTTTGTCTATGAACTCTTTACTCGAGTCATCTCAAACAGTATCGACAGAACACCGGACGAAGAATAGCCATGCGAACAAGCAGAGTTTCGAAAAGGATTTGGTACCATAGACCACATCCACACGATTGCAAGACTCAATGAAGTTTCACGAGAGTACAAACAACCACTGTCCTCACTTTCATCCATCTGAATAAAGCCTTGATTCAGTGGAAACAGAAGCCGCTATAGAAGCTCTGGATAACCAGGGTGTCCCCTTGGTACATAATGATCCTTCGTGAGCTTTATAAAAATTTGACGACCAAATTATCTCCATTCTACAACAATATCACCCTTGACGTAAGAAGAGGGGTTCGACAAGGCGATACAGTTTTGCCAAAACTATTCACTGCCACACTACGAAACGTCATGCGAACATTAGAATGGGACGATTTGGGAGTAAAAATTGACGGTCGACAATTATACCATCTTCGCTTTGCTGACGATATCGTTCTCATAACACCAAACATCAGCCAAGCGGAACGAATGTTGACCGATTTTGATAACGCCTTTAGAAAGATTGGTTCTCAACTAAATCTAACGAAAACGATGTTCATAAGGAGCGGATGGGTTTCGAATACCCCATTCACGCTCAATGGAACGACAATCTCCGAAGCTCCAGTTACGTCTATCTAGGTCGTAAAATCAACATGATGAACGACCTGGCTTCTAGAGTTGAGGAAACGAGAGGCTTGGGGAACTTTCGAGAGCATCAAAGATGTGGTGAAGAGGCAAAGAACATCCGACTCCGTGCCCACCTTTTCGACTCGACGATTATCCTTGCCCCAACGTACGCAGCAGAAACCTGGTCGCTACGTAAGCGGGATGAAAGATCACTTGGCGTTATTGAAAGCGCAGTTGAAAGGTCGATGCTAGGAGTATCCCGTATCTCGCAAATGAGAGAAAGGATGCGAAATTCCGACCTACGTCAACGATCGAAAATCGGAAACGCCGCTCTACACGCCAGGATATCGAAAGTAAGGTGGGCCGGACACGTGATGCGCTTCAACGACAATCGATGGAAGAGAGCCGTTACCGACTGGATTCTTTGGGACGTCAAGTGCTCTACAGGAAAACCACCGACCCGTTGGTCCGATTTTTTCACGAAAGCTATAGAAGAAAGATATGATGCTCAGCGAATCCTTAGAGCGAAGAGGATCCACTGGGCTACTCTTACACGCGATAGAAAAATGTGGAAGTGTTGCTGGAACCCGTTCGAGCACTCGACGATCAACGGGACGACAGGTGATCGATAGCGACCACCCAAGCCAGACCGTTGATAGCAGGCCGCTAGAAGATAGATGCGTTGTGGCCTAG